CTTGGCCTCAAAGCCTGGAGGTGTCATTCAGGATCCTCGGGTCTGCAGCCCAGGGTTTTATCACAGGAAGGCTGGAGGAAGTGACCGCTGGTGTTAAGAACCAGGCCTGAAACCAAACACCTGCAGTCAGTGAGAGGTCCCTTCTGCTTTCTGGGACAGGTCTTGCCCCTCACAGCCCCTCAAGGAGAGGATACCCTGGTGTGAAAGGCACCAGGCCTACCCCACCAGGTTCCAGGTTGAAATGAGGTGGAGTCAGAGCCTTGGTGGCCACTGTGCTTCCCACTTGGTGACACTTTCAGGAGCAAATGACTTGGACACTGCTGACCACAGGAGTCAAGGATGGTACTACCACAGGCAAGGGCAGCACTCACAGCTCTGCTCCCAGAGCCCACAGGACAAGCTCCTGGGCACTGACCTCTGGCCAGCTGTGACCTAGAAGCTGGACTTTTGTCACCTAGTGGTGGCAGGGAATGAGGACACAGGAAAACACCTGTCCTGGCTGTGATGAGTGATGACATGATGATTCTCCATCTTGCTTTTCACCTGTTATTATCTTCTACATAATAATGGAACCCAACAGGAAAATGTCAATGCAGATGGTGCCAGCACTAGGGACTAAATTATTCATTTGCATTAAATTATTAAGTTTGCGTTTGAAGTTTCTGGGTGAGTGCCTTGGGCCAAATCAGTCATGTGACAGAGACCCCTTACCACCGTTAGCCACCCCCTGCCAGATCCCACACCAGGGCTGAAGATCCTGAAAGTGCTTCTGGGACCTTTCCTGGCCCAGAGCTGGGAGTGTACCCTGGCATCCAGGAGCTGCTGTGGTAGGTGGTCAGCTTCCAGAGAGGCTGGACAGGGGATGGAGCAGGGCAGCCCCTCTTCCAGCCAGAGTGATCTGAGCTGAAAAGGGATGCTAGGTCTCCAGATTGTCCCAGAGGTCCTCCCAGAACCCTGCTTGGTGCTCTCTGAAGGGTAGAGCCTTTGAAGTGTAATCAGAGGCTCTGACCCTGTCTTGCCAGCTCAGCCAGGGCTTGATGGTGGACAAATACACAGGCTGATCTATTGCTGGAACTTGTTCCCTCTAGCTCCAGCCCCACTTCTCTTGCAGCTGCCTACCCTGGGCGCCTATTATCCCCCTTATCCTCCTCCCTTTCCCAACAGCACTTGGATGAGACTGTATCCAAATCTTTTAGTTCCTGACAGTCACTTTCTGAATCTTCAGCCTTTCTCCCTAAGATCCTGTCATCATGTGCACAGCCAGACACATGTCCTGCTCTCAGGCCAGTGAGCATGCCCCTGGGGGTGGCTGGATGGCCAACTGGCCAGATGGAGGCCGACCAGGCGTTGCCTCTCTTCTGCCATGGGAGCAGAAGTCTGTGTGGCTCTTAGCTGCCAGCCTCAACTGTGGTCCCCACCTGGGGGGTGGGGGGGTGCAGGAAACTGTGGCATGGGTAGCTGCCCCAGCTGGCAATGTCCTTGAAGACTTTTAAGGCCCCAGCAGCTTCGTCCTCCCTGGATTCTGTCTCTCAGACCTGGGATTGTCACCATCCTTGTTTATTTTCCCCCGCATGGTTGGGCTCTCATGCCCAGTTCAAGACCTTGACAAGTGAAGCTGAGAAAGGTCATTGCATGTATGAGTGACCCTAAGAGGATATAGGATAAAGAGAGAGACAGAGAGAAAGAGAGACGGAGACAAAGGGACAGACATAGACAGAAAAACAGAGGAGACAGACACAGGCAGCTAGAGAGAGAAAAAGAGACAGAGAAACAGACACAGATAGAGAGGTGGGGGAAGGGGAGAGGAAGAAAGGAAGGAAGGGAGCAAGGGAGGGACAGGTACAGAAGCAGAATCAGAGCCCAGCAGAGAGCCTCCATCCTCTGGGCCTGTGGCTATCCTAACCACAGCCAGGTTCGGGGGCATGTATGGATCTATGGAAGGGGTGTAGTGGTCCTTAGAGTCCAGTCCACTCTCAGCCTACTTGACACCTGCCATCCTGGCAGGCAGCCCTGTTACTAGGCAGCTCCCTTCAGGACTCTTGTGAAGGTCGTTGAAGTCAGTCGTGGGTGTCTCTGGACTCAGGAGGTCATGCTGCAGTCTTCTGTGACTACCAGGGGTTCATATCCTTCTGAGGGGATGGAGGGAAGAAACCCCAGTGGGGTGAGGTGATATCTTTCTCTTGGATTGACCCTCTCATCACTATACACCTGTGACTCTGAGCACACTGGAGAGGCCATCTGGGAACAAGTGACCCCAATTCCACAGAGCATCAGTCCTGAGCCTGCGTGAGACCTGGGGCATAGACCCCACTTCACACCAAGGGTGAGGGATGAGCTGGGATAGGCAGTGCCTCCCATTTCCTAGAATGTCCAGCAAACTTGACCTGCTGTAGCCAATGAGAGTCCTATATCAGAAGCTGGGCCCACCCTCTTGAGTAGCCCTTCTCCCTCTGGCATCAGCCAAGGCACGGTCCAGAGAGCCTCAGGAGGAGAAACTAACAGTGCTGAGGGACTGCCAATGTTCTCACCTGCAGCCACCTCTGACCCCCAGGCCCACTGGGCCCACCTGGCTGAAGTGGGGCTCAGCAAGAGAGGGGCCCTAGCCTTCATCCTTCTAGGTCTCTCCCTGCCAGGGAGCAGTGCTGGCCTCCTGGACTAGCTGCCCTTCTGCTTCCTTCTGTTGAGGGTCTCCACCAGGTCCTCCCAGGAATGGGAAATGGCAAAGGCCATGCCAATGAGGGACTGCATCAACCAGAATGGGGCAGCTGGAAAGCTAGACTGGGGCCTCCAGTAGTGAGGGGGGTCCCCCCAGGGTTGAGTGAGGGGCAGGATCCAGCCCATCCTGTGGAATGACTCAGCCAGGAGGGAAGAGTGACAACTTAATGCAGTGGCCATCAGCAGTGGCCAGTGCTGGCCAGAAGCCATCCTTGGCCAGAGTCTGAGAAGCTCTAGGTGACCTAGCATGACCTGGGCCTGCCTGAAGCTCCTCAAGACTAGGGTGTAGGGACCACAGGCTCGACCTTGCAGTGGACCCTGCTCACCCTGCTCACCGGTCTGCACTGCGGCCACTGCAGGGGAAATCCTGGCGCCTGGGAGGGGGCGGACGCGGGGCGGAGCAGCGGAGACTGGCCCAGCAGAACCCCCGCCCAGCCAGGTCCGCAGTGACCTTCAGGCGTCCCTGCCTGGCGGGGTCGATTGGCTTCCGTCCCACCAAAGCCATACTCTGCACGCTGGGCACAGTAGGGGTCTGCGACCTCTCTCAAGAGGGTCTTGGGGGGCTGGGAGCCCTCCTCCCGCCCTGCCCTTGCGGTGCGCCCAGACCGAGAGCAACCGGGTCAGGGTCGCGCCGCGGCGGGGGTTGGTGGGCTGGAGCGGCAACCCCACTCTGCGCACGCCCCCGGCCGGCGGGCGCAGACTTTCCAAGGGTCTCGAGGCCCCCGCAGCGAGGGCTGGGAGCCCGGGCAGGTCCACACCACGGGCTCGGAAGAGGAGGGGCCGGATCTGAGCCGAGCGAGGCGCGCGCTGGGCAAGGATCTGGGACCCGGGGGCGCGGCTGCCTACCCACCCCCCCACCGCCCGCCGCGCCCCGCCCTCCTCGTCATGCGGGACGCGGGCGGGGGCGGGGGCGCCTCGGAGTGACGCGCCCTCCTCGCGGTGCCCTTCAGCCGCCGCCGCAGCTCCCAGGCGCCACATGGACCCCGCCGGCCCGTGCGCACGCCGCCGCTGACCGCTCGCCAGCCCGCCCGCCCGGGAAGGTAACTGGCGCCCGCGCAGCCCGGCCCAACCGACTCCCCAGCCCCGGCTGCGGCTCCCCGGCTCCCGGCTCCCGCTCTCTCCCGGTTCCCGGCTTCCTAGCCCTGGGCTTCTCAGGCTGGGCGGGCGCTGTCCGCCGCGCGGTGCTGAAGCGGCCCCGCGGTCCCTCTCTCGGCCCCGGCTTTCTTTCCTCTCTCCGGCTCGCGCCCGCCGAGGCCGCTGGCGGGACTGGGTACCTCGCCCGCCCGCAAAGCCGAGGGTGCGGCGGCCGCGGGCGCACGGGGCGCCTCGGTCCTTGCCGGCCTCTCTGCGGCTGGCCCTGCGGTCCCCTCCCCCCCGGGAGCCAGGGGAGAAGTTTGGAAGAGAATCGGCTTTGCGGCAAAGGCGTCCCTGCGCACCAGCGCTTCCTAGGGGGGCGCTCCCTGCCCCGCCACCCCTCCCTAGTCTGCTCGTGGTCTCCTCCGTCCGCAGAGGGAAGCCTGTGAAACTGGATCCCCAGAGACTCAGGGCTTCTGGACGGGAAAGACCCCACAATGAGGGAGGGAGATGTCACTGCAGCACTGTGGTTTTACAGGAAGCGCTTCCCCACGGGCACCCAGCCCCTGCTGGGCACTGGGCACCTGGGCCACTCCATTCGATGCAGGCGCCAGTGGGTGCAATCTGCCTCCACTCTCCTTGGAAGGCTGGGCCCCTTCAGTCTCTCCTTCCATCCCAGTCCTTCTGGGTCGATGCAGGTGTGGGGGGGGGCGGCACTCTGGGGTCTCCTCAGGGACAGAGCCTGACTTCCTGAGACTGGTCAGAAGCCACAGGGACCTTCCCTGAAGGGCTCTACTCACGGACTTGCCCACCCTAACCCGTCTCTGGGTGGGACCACTGCACTATAGCCCCAGGACTGCCAAGGAGGCTGAGCAGCCAAATCCTGGGCTGTAAAACAGAGTAGTGACCTTCAAACGCCCCTGGGCCCCGCCCCCGCTTTGTGCAGGCTGGTGCCAGACTCCTCTAAGTGATGGCCCCCAAGTTGTAAGCAGCCCCTGCCCTGCAGTGGCAGCTAGAAGCTGACTTTAGAAACCCCAGGGCTGGAGATACCAGTCGGTCTGCCTAGGGCCCTGGACCCTGTCATCGTGATCACACAGGTCCCTCCCAGAAGCCCTCAAGGTACTGGGAGGGGCATCAAACTGTGGTCTCAGTCAGGCCTGGTAAGGGCACCTGTGACCATTTGTTCTCCACAGGTAGAGGACTCTGGCCACACTCGAATGTGAGATCTGCCCCGGAGTGGCTGCTGAGGAATCAAGCCATCATGGAGTTCGTGATGAAACAGGCCCTGGGAGGTAGGAGGTGGGGGAGGCTAGGAGGGGCTTTGGGTCTGGACCACTGGGGATAGGCAAACATAGAACACCAAGAGCCACATCTTACCCACCGCAGTGGTGCACAGATACACAGGGCAGCATGGCCACCTGACTTCACACAAAGCCTGTGCAAGCATGCATGCTCGCCCCCTGAGCAAGCCCGGGGCAGTGCCTCAACCCAGTGTATCTGAATTCCCTGGGCCAGGATTTGGGTGCAAGAGGACAGGAAAGAGGAGGATGTGCCTGTATGCTGACCTTGTGCTCCAGGTCATGTTCGGCAGAGCCCGCAGACTACTGAAGCAAGTCAAAGACAGCAGCAGCAGCCCCTTTGGAAAGGGCAGACACCCTAGGGAGGTTTGGAGGCCAGTCCTCATCATGGCCAGGAGGAGCACCAGGATGGGGGATGGAGGACAAAGCCAGCTATGGTGTCTGGCTAGGACCCCATGGATTTCATCTAGGTAGGGGACAGTGTTGTCCACAGGGAGCCATGGCTGGCTGGTCACAGGGACAAGAAAAGACAGCTGTGGCCCAAGCCTCTTCCATGGAGGCAGAGTGGCCTCTTTTGTGTGTTTGGTGGGGGGAGGGTAGACCCCTGCAGCCTGCTGACTGCCATTGGAAGAGAGCCCTCTCCCTGCCTGGCCCAAGGCCATCATTGTGGCCAGAAACTGTGCCCAGGACTATAAGCTGGTAGAGGACAGTGCACTGCGTCCCTGGCCACAAGATGCTGGAGCAGTGAGCTAAGAGGCTGGTCCACATTGGCACCTAGGAGTCTGGAAAGGCTATTGTGTCAGCTAAGGCCTGCAGGCCATGAGGCTGACCTGGGCAGGTCTCAGGTCACTCACTGGGTGCCTCAGGCCCTCTGATGCAACCCCAGTGCCCAGAGCTCTCTGTAAAGAGAATCTGTGACCAGTAATTGATTTTACTATTGGAGAGTTGTCCATGGTAGCCTCAGCAAGGAAGCATTCCAACCTGAGCAGTTCCCAGCTTGGGTGTGTCAGGGATGTTCTGCCACCACTGGGGGAGGGAACTTTTTACAGAGAGGAAGCTAAGTAATGGTGCCAGGGTGGCGGGAGGCTGGAGGGGCAACATAGGTAGACAGACATCTGTGGGAAGATATCTGCACCTCTGCTCAGACAGAGGAAATGAAAGATAGGCAGAAGGCTACATTCCCAGAGAGTCCATGGTCAAGGGTAGACTCAGATTGAGTCTAATTATAATGATTACATCATCGGGACATGATTCAGGAACCAGCTAGCATCCTGTCAGGAGGGACCCATGTTGCACCCAGCAAGTCCCAGGCTGCTGCAGATAATTAATTAGATGGATAATTCAGGCCCTGAGGTGGGCTTTTAAGGAAACTGAAATGTCTGATTTCGCTGTCTACATGGCTGAAATTAGCTGGGTAATTGCCAGCCTGGATTGCCTCTTTGTTCCATGTCAGCCCAAAGTTTCTCCTGCAGTGGCGACGGGGCGGGCTTCATGGAGCACCATTGGAGCTTCAGTGGGGGCAGCTAGCAGACTGAGGACTGCAGTGCCACCACCACACGCTGGGCCCCCAGCTGAGCATTGCCTAAATCACCCAGTATTTGCTCTGTATTTGTTCTGTAGAGACTGGAATGTCACTCCAGGGTTGATGGCCAGACTGGCCATGTGCAACTTTCTGGTGACCTTGTCTTGGGCTCCAAGCTCTTCTTTCCATCAGTGGGCATCCCCTTTGGTGTCTCAGGGTGTATGTGAGAAAGAGGCAGCCAAACAAACTCAGACAGTGGAGAAAAGAGGGAGAGCTCCAGACCAAGAGTCAGAGGTTGACAGATACCCAAGAAACAAGCCAAGCCTCAGATGTTGAGAAACCAGCAGGCAAGGGAGCAGGAAGGGACCAGAAGGTCCCCAAAGAGAGACAGGGATGGAGAAGAATAGTCCAGAAATAGAGATGGAGAAAAGAAACAAAGAAATGTACTCAGGATTCAGTGAGGGCAGCTGAAAACAGAAGCAGAGCGAGGGAGACAGACACAGACAAAGACAGATACAGGAAGGCAGAGACAGAAAAAGATAGAGATGGAAACAGAGACAGCAGCAGAGAAACAGAGACAGAGGCAGGGAGCAAGAGAGGACCAGCAATGGCACCCAGGCTCTTGCACACGTGCACACTCAGAGACTCAGTAGGGGGAAGTAAGGAGATAGGCGGCCTCACCTGTGGCATTGCTCACAGTGAGACGGGCCTCACTGTGATGTGGCTAATTGAATCCTGGCCACTGTCTTTCATCTGGGCTGTCTCTTCTGCTGAGGAGAGTGGCCAGGGGGACATGTGATCCAGGGCCTTCTTATCTACCCCACCTGAGTCTCGAGCCAGCCCTTCTGAGGACAGAAGCTGTGAGTGACTGCCTGGTGAGTGGCAGCTTCTGGATTCCGTCTGCCAGGTTCCCTAGTCCTGCGGCTCTTTCTGCAGGACCTTGTCCACTCAGTGGTTGAGCTCTAGGAAAGCGTGGCCTACCACTGTGCAGGGCCCTAATAAGGGAGGTACAGGTCTAGCCTTTGACTGGCTGTGGACACTGTGCATGCCTTTGACCCTGCCTGTCCTCTCCTCTGCCTCTGCATCATTTCTTGTCCAGGGGCAGCAATTCTCACCTTAGGCCTCACAACATGGCACCACTGTTATGCCAGCAGCCTCTGTCCCCTGCCAGCATGTCCCAGAGAGGAAGCTAAAGACCAGCGGGGCTCATGTGTGGATGCTACATGACAGAGTAAGAAGGAATGGCCCATAATTCAGGGGCCACCAGTTCAGAGACAAGCTCATAACAGAGCAAGGAATGGCCTAGAATTTAGAGACTACCATTTCAGTTCAGAGATAGCTCAGCTTGGATAGCTGTGAAGTTCCAGGTGGCCACAGGCCTTTTCTGTGAACACTTGTGCAGATGACTGGACTCTGCTGTCTCTGTGGCTCCAGGGTCCCAGAAGCCTATTTGATCGAGCCCAGTTGAGTCCTGGCCCTGATGCTTGAGGAGGACCCTCCCCTCCAGTGATGTCGGCCCCCACGGGGATCCTGAGGTCACTTGGGAGGAAAAGGAGGACCTGCTACTGGAAGGAAGGAAAGTCCCATATGAGTCCAGTGCCCCAGCTTCCTCTCGGGTTCTGGGCTTGCTGGGATCTGGTGGACAAGTGTTCAGGGCAGAGCTACAAGTGAACCTGGTGAGGGTCAGTGAGGGAAAGAGGCCCAACCAGCCATGGGAATCCAAGTGCCTTTGCCAGCCTCTGCACCAGTCTGTCGGTCTGTCACCAGGGCCACTGTCAACTTCATAAGCACTGCTCTTTCCCTATCCACTCCTCCAGCCTTCCTTCCCATCCAGCCCGCAGGGCCCATGGTTCCCCAGCTGCCCAAGCTGCCACCAAACACCTGTCTCCAGGTGCTAGAGCTGCTGCCTGGGGGAAGGGTGGGGAGATTCCTCTGCCCAGCATGGCTTCTGGGGATTTCGAGCCAGGCAGGCTGGAGCAGGACAGGGCAGCACCACCCACTGGCTGGTGTCTGCCCCTTCTTTGCAGAGCCAGGCAGCCCCATGCCTGCAGCTTGGGCCTGGGAAGATGTAACAACCCCTGTTGGTCCCTCCGGCCTATGGTTCCTCACCCCAGGGTGGCCCCTGGTCCCTCAGCAACCCTGGTTGTCATGGCTTGGCCTCTGGCTCGCAGCCTGTCTTACTGGGTTAGCACCTGTCCGACCTCTTGGCCACAGCTCGGACAGCAGCTGCCCTGGCTGGGGCACCTTGTCAGAACCTGCTGTGCACAACCAGCCCTGGTGCATCCTTTCCCCTCATTCTGTAAACCAAGCCCCCATCATGTGCCAGGTGATCGTGGAGCTGATGGTACCTGTCCTGAAGCCGAGCTGAGCTATGAAGGAAGGAGGATCCTCTTGGGGCCAAATCACATAGTGTTTCCTGAGGGCAAATTCATTCTTCTCATCAAGACAGTGTCCTCACAGCATTGAGAGGCCTTGGACCCCCTCAGGACCCATCAAGATCCCCAGACCTAAATCAGCTAATGCAAGTACTCTGGCACTAAGGAAAGGAGGCAACTGCCACTGCTGTGTCCAGGCAACAGCTCTCCTTGGAGTGGGAAGTTCTTCACAGCACAACCGGGGCCAGGAGCTTGGGCCACATCTGCATGGATCCCCTAGGGTGCAATTTAAAGAAACAGTTTTCCCTCAGGCTGAAAGTGGCAAATGCCCAGGGGCTGTATTTACACTGGAAGGAGAGTGGCAGTTGTCGAGGTGGCATGCTCCAGGTGGGCTTTTAGCTGAGTAGGCAGAAGTGGCTATTTTGACCCAAAGGATTCAGGTCACTTTTTTGTTCTTCCTATCGTTCTGCCTTGGTATGACACCCTCTGTGCCAGCAACATGCCCAGGTCCTCAGGACTGGTGCAGAGCAAGTGGCAATCCTGAAGGACAAGCACACAAGGCAGAGATGCTGCAAGCATGTACAAAGGCCCAGGGGCCTCAGGGGCCAGGATGGGCACGGACAGAGGTAGCACACTCCTGGAATAACCTTGTTATAGGGCTTGAGACTTAGTCCAAGGTAGGTGCCTCTTACATGGCCTGGTTCTGCCTGGCCGGCTTCAGTGACCTGATGGTTTGATCAGTGTGGACAGTGTCCTGTAGTGAGTCTATCCTGGGTCTCACACTCTGGGGTTCTATGTCAAGGGTGAGGCATATGTCCCTGTCCTGTCCCAGCCTAAGGTCCTGAGCAGGGCTGGCCCACCAGCTGCCACTCTCCCTTTCTTCTCTGGGTCTCAGCAGCTTTGTTTACCATGGTCCTGAGATTGTGGCTGATGCCTGACAGTTCTGCCCTGCTGGAGAACAGAGCCAGGCCAGGCCAGGCTCTTTGGCATTGGGAGGATGGTGGGGCCGTGGCTGAACTGGGCTGCAGGTGAATAGCAGATAGCAGTGGTGAGGTGTTTCAGCTGGAGTTGGGGTAGCAAGGCTACAGGAGGTGGCT